GAAGGATGGAAGGCCGAGTCAACCTTGAGCCTGGTGGGATTCGAACTGCCAAATTGCAGTCAGCTGGCAGTCAGCAGAAGTAGCCTGCAGTACTGCACTCTTATTATGAGCCACTATGCCACTGTGGCTCATAATAGGAGTACCAGTATACCTTTCCTAACTCTGTTTTTTTGTTTTCTCTTGCATGGATAGTTTGACATGATTCTTGGAAAACTGGAGAACGATGGCAGTAGAAAGGTAACTTTGCGCATAGATCTCTTCTCTTGTTTTGAATAGCCCAATGGCATTGAATGTTGAGTGCAAGGCCAAAATATTGTTGAATTGAATGTCAGAAATGAAAGAATACTTACTGGGTTTTCTGCTGTTAATTTAAAAACAGTATTATTATTTTTTAAATAAGAGCTTGTAGTCCTCATAATCTATTGAATTGCTTAAGAATTGGAGATGCCATTGGTCTATTATCTTTCTTCCTAATTCCATGCTGCTTCAATTGCAGAGAAATTGCTCTCCCACCCATCCCAATCTTCCCAGCACATTCTCCTTCTTCCCTCCCCTACCCTCCTCCCTTCCTTGCAATTTTGCTTGCACTGCACTGCTCCCATTTTGCCACCGCACTCGTTTCAATCGTACACTTCATTCCATATTTGGAATAAACTGATCCTGTTCATTCCCCTTAAACACACGAACACCGCACGTTCCGTGCCTCCCTGTTTAATCAGTTGCAAGATAAATCCTGCTGCCATCCTGGAAGCTTTGCACAGCTCCTCATTTTGCAGTCAGAAAAGCATTTTAAAGGGCTGGTTAAGGACGATTCCGTTCTTGCCGTGACAGTTCTAGGTCATCAGAGGGAGGCAGGAAGAGAAGGATCAGGAAGGGTCAGGGTGTAATGGTGTTTCGGAATGGTCTTGGGACCGGAGGAGGGGGTAGGGATGTTGCCTGGGGAATGATCCAGTAAGGGGGAGGTGCCCACAGTTGGGCAGAGAAAGAAACTCAGAAAGGATCCCCTCTAACATCTCAAGCCGAAAAAAAGAGACAGTGAGAGATTTGTCCTTTCAGACTTGCAAGAATCTGCTGACGTAGCTTTGCAATAAAAGTAGAATTAGCCGGTCTGTTCGTGCTTCTGGTTTAGTCTGTCTGGGAAGGCTGACACAGGGGGGGTGAATTTGACTGTGTTTTTCCTATGTCTGTTGTGATTCACCGGCAGCCGGTGTGGATGGCAGAGGTATCGGAGGGGATTGCCCCTCCCATAAGGGATAAAAGTCAGTCCTCAATGACGAAGACTTTGCAGGAAGCAAAACAGTTCAGTAATTTCCGAGTCCGTTTTGAAGCTCTGTACTCTGGTTGGTTTTTTTCTGGGTTTTTGGGTTGGTTTACGTTAAGCCTTAATGGGACTTGTGTTTTTTGGCAGCATTCTACAGCACTGAAAAGCGTGCTCTTGTCTGGAGGAACTGTGTCTAATGAGTTTTGGCTGGGAATGCAAGTAATTCCCAACGTCGCATTAAAAAAGGTTTTATTTTTGAATTCAGTTTGCGTTTTAATTAAGTTTGACGGAGCCTGGGTCAGATCAATGTCTGGCAGAGGTTCAGGCTAGGATTTAGTATGCTTTCAGCTGAATCCCATCCAGGTAGTCCTCAGCTTACAACTTCACAATAGAGCCCAACATTTCCATGGCTGAGTGAGACAGTTGTTAAGTGAGTTTTGCCCCCTTTCACCAACCTTCCTGGCTACGCTTGTTAAGTAAATCACCGCAGTTGTTAAGTTAGCCACACGGTTGTTAAGTGAATCTGGCTTCCCGGTTGACTTTGCTCGTCAGAAGGTCGCAAAAGGGGATGGTGTGACCCCCAAGGGGACACACTGCGAGCGTCATAACTATGAACCAGTTGCCAAGCCTCTAAATTTTGATCACGAGGATCGCGGCGATGATTGCAAGAGTGATAACGGTCGTGAGTCCCTTTTTTTCTGTGGCGTTGTAACTTCGAATGGTCATTAAACAAGTGGTTGTAACCTGGTAATTACTCTGAAGGGAAACCCATGAAGCTTTCTTATTTAAGTTAGGGGTTGCTCGTAGGGTCCTGCTAGTATTCTCCACGGTGGAACTCACTTGGATAGGGTATGGCATTATATGCCATCCTGCAGATGAGGAGGCCAGGAAAGTGGCTGGGCAAGAACCCAGGGAGGTTTGACCGGTTGAACCCGAGCCCGAAAGAAAAGGTCAGGAGCTGGAATGAGAAAGTAATGGGGGAGCACTAGGCCGCTGGAGTGATGCTCTCCTCCAACCTTGAAATCTGGCAGAGACCCCCGTTTCTTTTTGTTGAGATGCTGAGACCTTGGAAAAAGTTCAGAGGAGAGCAACTAAGATGGCCTGGAGACTAAAACTTATGAAGAATGGCTGCAGGATTTGGGTCTGTCTAAAGAAAAGTCTAATCTAAAGCTAGTCTAGTCTAAAGAAAAGAAGAATTAAGGGCGACATGATGGCAGTCTTCCAGTATTCGAAGGGCTGCCACAAAGAAGAGGGGGTCAAATTATTCTCCAAAGCACCTGAGGGCAGGACAAGAAACAATCAGTGGAAATTAATCAAGGAGAGAAGCAGCCTGAAATTAAGGAAAAACTTCCTAATAGTGAGGACAATTAACCAATGGAACAACTTATCTCCAGAAATCGTGTGCGCTCCATCACTGGAGGTTTTTAAGAAGAAAAGGAACAGCCATTTCTCTTCTCTTCTCTTCTCTTCTCTTCTCTTCTCTTCTCTTCTCTTCTCTCCTCTCCTCTCCTCTCCTCTCCTCTCCTCTCCTCTCCTCTCCTCTCCTCTCCCTCTCCCCTTCCCTTCCCTTCCCTTCCCTTCCATTCCATTCCATTCCATTCCATTCCATTCCATTCTATTCTATTTGGAACTTGGTAAAAGTGGTCCACGAAGACATCCAGTTGGTGGCAGTGTAGCCATTTATGCCATGAAGAAAAACCCTGCTGTTCTCACATAATTTGTTGGAAACCAGGAATCTCTTTTGTGAGACAAAAATCTTGAGATGTTTTGGCATGTTTTGGCTCACCGTGAATATGAAAAACTTGGAACAACTTTTGTTTTGGGAGAGAGACTTGAGCAAAGCCAGCATCCAGATGAATCTGTGAAAAGCTCAAGAGTTTTTATCATTCTATTCTATTCTATTCTATTCTATTCTATTCTATTCTATTCTATTCTATTCTATTCTATTTATTCTATTCTATTTGGAACTTGGTGAAAGTGGTCCACGAAGACATCCAGTTGGTGGCAGTGTAGCCATTTATGTCATGAAGAAAAATCCTGCTGTCGTTTTTTTTTCTTCCTGCCAATTTTGATGATATTTTTTTGTAGCCTCTGATGAAAGAGCATTTCTGAGACCTATTCGTGGCTGAAGCCTTGCCCTTAAGACCACATGCATGTGTGAATGTCCTTCACTCTGTAATCACCTCTACCAGCCTGTTGGCCCCCATTTTCATTCCGTCCCCAAAGGGCGATTTTTCACCTGGGCTTTCTCACTTTCTCCGGGCAGCTCCGGAAGATTCAGAGTGATGGAGAAATATAGAAGAGAATCAATAGCGATAAAAAGCCCGCCTGCCATCTTCCCCAAGGCTAATTTAACAGATGTTCTCACATAATTTGTTGGAAACCAGGAATCTCTTTTGTGAGATAAAAAATCTTGAGATGTTTTGGCATGTTTTGGCTCACCGTGAATATGAAAAGCTTGGAACAACTTTTGTTTTGGGAGAGAGACTTGAGCAAAGCCAGCATCCAGATGAATCCGTGAAAAGCTCAAGAGTTTTTATCAACTGTGCAGCAGTAAGAAGGAGCAGACATCTTAAGATATATAAAGGGGATTCCCCCCCCCCCCCCCATGGCCACATGGCAGATGCATTATTCCTCTTTACACCTTTCATAACGGGAAATGCCTTCAGACATCAGCTGAAGTTAGACTTCCCACATGAACACTTTAACCAGAAGAACCTTTTATTTTACGTCAATGTTTTCTATTATTTGTGGGACCTAGAGACTGTAAATCAGAGATTCACATCTTTTACTTTTATACTTGCTCTGTAATTTTAATTGGGTAGGTCATAATCATTGACTTATCATCTTGGCATATCTTAATTGCAGTTACATCCAGCTGGGTGTATAATTAAAAGATGAAAGAATTACAACAACAAAAAATCAGGTGTACCCGAATTACCACCGTGCTATATAGAGAAATTTTTCTAATTGACAAATGGGTTCAGGAATTGGTCACCATTGTGATGGCATGGGTCTACGAAGTGGGGGCCAGTGTGATGGACTGCAGCAGTGCACCCCTAACTGAACCTGTGGACTCCAGGGACTGGTTTCATGGACTTGGGGGGTAGTGGTTTTGTGTGCAGCCTGGATTCTGCAAGTCCATGTGGAGCGATGCCAGTCCACAAATTGGAGGTTGCGACCCCTGGACTACAGTGGAGCTGCATTTTCCTAGAAAGAGGAAGCACATTTTAAAGATTTGCGGGGGGTGGGGGACGGGGCAGACAAGAGCCAGTAAAGCCCGGAACTGGATCGGAGACAGTGGAAGAGAGTTGTTGTAGTTTGTTGGCAGTTGGTGCAGCCGTCAGCGGAATCAGACAGTGGGGAAGAATGGGGACCAGTCAGGGAGTCTGGGGAGGACTCGAACAAGGGTCCTGTGTCAGATGGGCCAGGACCATCTGGGAGTGGGGTGCTGCCTTTGGAGCTGGCGGAGTCTGGCAGCAGCGAGGCAGAGGACCCAGGGGAGCCTGTTCCCAGTGCGCGTGTGCGCAGAGCTGCTAGAAGGCAGGAGCAGCTGAGACTAAAGGGGCAACTCAGGAGTAAGGCTGGGAGGTGATTGCCCCTCCCATAAGGTATAAAAGTCAGGCCAAGATAATGAAACCTTTGCAGGAAGCAAAGTAGTTCGATTGGTTCCGAGTCATCCTTGAAGCTCTTTGTACTTTGGTTGGTTTCTTTTCTAGTTCATTTGATACTTCTGTTTTTGGCAGCACTTCACAGAACTGAAAGGTGTGTGCTTATCTTGGGAGACTGTTTGAGCTTAATTCGGGCTGGGAATGAAAACAATTCCCAGCGTTGCAATAAAATAGGTTTTGCTTTTAAAACAAGTTTATGAATAACTACGATTTATGAAGCCTGGGTCTAGAAAGGCACTCCCTAGAACGTCTATGGAGATTCTCAGTACTCCAGGGTCATGGTTGTCCCAAAGGTGCTTTTTTTCAAGAGGCAACTGGTTTTTCTGGTTTTTCTTTGAAGACGTTTTGCTTCTCATCCAAGAAGCTTCTTTGGCTCTTCCATTCCCCACCATTCAGTCAGAGCCAAAGAAGCTTCTTGGATGAGAAGCGAAACATCTAAGAAAAACCAGAAAGTCCAGTTGCCTCTTGAAAAATTACCTTTGGGGCACTCCCTAGAACCTCCCAGGGTATATCTGTTAGGATGAGAGCAGTCAAGGTTTAGTCTGGCAAGATTCTGTCTATATGGCATGAGCTAATAAATAACTGACTGGATTGTTCTCTATCACTCTTGGGCTGGGCCTGTTGCTGTTTGGTTTTCCAAATATTTTATCTCACCTTTTTTTAAAAAAAATTGTCCTCTTTCATTAGCCTGGAGTTATTGACAAGTTCACCAAAGACACCAAACCGATTATTAACAAAGTGGCCTCCGTAGCAGAAAGCAAGGGATTGTTTGAAGAAGCCGCCAAACTTTATGACCTTGCCAAGGTAAGTGGGATTTCAAAGATGCGTTGGATACGTTCATCAACTTGCTCATAAAAATAATAAAAGGCAATAGCACTTTAGACTTATCAAGGAGAGATTCAACCTGGAAATAAGGAGGAATTTTCTGACAGTGAGAACAATCAACCCATGGAACAGAAGTTGCCTTCAGAAGTTGTGGGAGCTTCATCACTGGAGGCTTTCAAGAAGAGACTGGGCCGCCCTCTGTCAGAAATGGTGTAGGGTCTCCTGCTTGGGCGGGGGTGAGTGGGGCTGGACTAGATGACCTCCAAGGTTCCTTCCAACTCTGTTAATCTGTTATATCCCACTTTATAGCCCTCTCTAAGCGGTTTACAGTGTCAGCAAATTGCCCCCAACAATCTGGGTCCTCATTTTACCTCAAAGACGGGATACAAATACAGGTGGTCCACGACTTACCATGACAATTGAGTCCAAAATTTCTGTTGTTAAGTGATTTTTTTGGCCCTGTTTTACAAGCTTTCTTGCCAAAGTTATTAAGTGAATTGCTGCAGTTGTTAAGTTAGTCACATGGCCGTTAAGTTAAACTGGCTCCTCTGTTGACTTTGCTTGCCAGAAGGTTGCCAAAGGGGATCAAGTGACCCCGGGACATCGCGACCGTCATAAATATGAGCCAGGTGCCAAGCCTCTGGATTTTGATCACGTGACCTGTGTGGAGAGGCTACAACGGTCGTACATGTGAAAAATGGTCATAAGCCACTTTTTCAGTGCCGTTGTAATGTGGAACGGTCACTAAGTGAACTGTTGTAAGCCGAGGACTACCTCTAAACATATATCAAGTTGTGATGGAGTTAGCAGAGTTGGCTAAATTGACTGCTCTGATCAAAGAAAAAAGAAACATTTACTTCTACCTGGAATCCGCTTCTGGACTTTGTGCTTGAGGTGGAAAAAACAAATTGAAACTTTGATTTTGGATGTTACCGGTGAGATATTTTGTTGTTAAAGAAATGGCTACTAGTTTAAACGATTATGTAAAAGTTAAAAAGTTGAGGTTTGAGGTTAACGCCTTATTCTACCACACTGAAGGGAGTCGGAAGTCAATGCTTTTTCTTTCTTTCCCCCCCTCTTCTTTCTCTCGCTTTTCTCTTCCCCTTTCCCTTCTGTGATGACCCAAAGGGGCGTGGCACAAAGGCAGCACAGTCAGATAATCAGTAGGAGTCCCTTTATTAGTGCCAACTTTGCCCCCCATGTCCTGGTTACCTTCTGGCTGGAGAAAAAACTCTCCCAGGAACAGCCTTTGGCTGCAGAGAATCAAGTCCAAAACATGGTCAACAAAAACTGTAACTATAACTCCAGTCAAGGCAAAATGAGGTAATTAGTCCGGCAGGGCAGGAGAAAGAATTCCAGACGTGAAGGCACGGCAATAACTCCATACGGTTGGGAAGACGCAAGGAACACAGATAAGCAAAGTCAACACAAGATAAACTCACGTTTTCTCCCAGCAGCTGCCACACTCAGCATGCATTTCTTTTAAACTCTCATTCCCAGGTGTGGCTAATGAAGGGAATTAGGGCCCTTTCCTCCCCTGTAAGCCACGCAACCCCCGTTGCTCTCTCCTCCGTTCCTCCCTGCATGCCCTAGGATGAAGACGGGGTGGGCCTTCCTCTAAACTCCCTCTCCCTTGTTCTACCTCCCCCCTGCTCTGCCCAGCTGGATTTTGCCCTTCCCCAGTTTCCTCCACAGCCAACTGAGCCACACTCCCACTCCCTGTCAGCTGTTCATCTTCCTCCTCGGATTCAGACTCCGACGGGAGCATGACACCTTCCCTATTTTTCCTGTTATTTACTTTTGTATTTTCTACATTATAAACTAATGAAAAATTGTTTTAAAAAAAAGAAGTAAAAAGTTGTGAAGCCTTCCAGAAGGTTTACTGGCAGACCTGCTTTTAATGTGTTGCAGATATAAAGCAGAAGGCTTCTCTTAAGCTTTTTGCTGACTGGGCTCACTGCCGCCAATCTCAATTGATCGGGAGAGTCCCTAGCTCCGCCCCTGAGCCCTTCCTTCCTCCCCCTTCCTCCCCCATGATTTCCGCTTTCCCTTTTTTTGTAAAGTTTTTTTTTTAAAAAAAAACCATAACATCAATATCATTTCGTGGACAGGGTGGTGTCTTGAGTGTCGTTCATTTTGATACAAAAGCAATATTAATACAATAAGCATTACTAGATTAATCCACCTTAGGCGGTCTAATGTTGTTATACATAACTGTGTCAGCACATAATCCTTCATTTTTCAATTGTTCAATATTTGCTACATCCTTCTAATAGTAGTGGCCTTATTTTTGAGCGTACCGAATACCATCCTTTTTTTTCAAACTTTGCTCTTAACCACTAATATTCAGTTTAAATGTGTTAAGTGAAAATATGCATAACAATGTTCCCCCGTTTAAATGTTTTTTTTTCTATTCTAATTTTAATCTGGCCAATCTTACAAATTCCTACAATCTAATATTGTTATACATAACTGTGTCAGCACATAATCCTTCCTTTTTTTCAATATTTGCTACATCCTTCTAATAGCAATAGCATTATTTTTGAGCACACCTTTTTCAAACTCTGTCTTAACCTCTAATATTCACTTTAAATAAAAATATGTATAACAATATTCCCCCTATTTCTAGACTTCTTTTACCTATTCTAATTTTTAACACGGCCCTGCCTCCTGCTTTCCAAAAGACCTCCTTGAACTCATTCCTGCAGCGCCTGCTTTCTCTCTTTGTATCTCCCTCAGAATGCCGACAAAGTCCTTGAGCTGATGAACAAGTTGCTAAGCCCCATCGTGTCTCAGGTCAGCGCTCCCCAATCCAACAAGGAAAGGCTGAAGAACATGGCGCATGCCATAGCTGAGAGGTAAGAGACCGGCCTGGGGCAGGTGGGGGGGGTTGAGGATTCCTGCCCATGCCAGATCAGCCAGGTTTCTTTTGACCTTGTCCACCGAAGCTTGGGAGAAGCCTTGAATTATGCAGTCAGAGGTCACATGCAGAGCTAAAGTAGAATAGAATTCTTTATTGGCCAAGTGTGGTTGGAAACACAAGGAATTTGTCTTTGGTGCATATGCTCTTAGTGCACATAAAGGAAAATAAAATACATTCATCAAGAATCATAAGGATTAAGGAGCCTCTGTGGCGCAGTGGTTAGCGTGCAGTGTTGCAAACTACTTCTGCCGCAGCCAGCTGCCTACAATTTGGCAGTTCAAATCCCACCAGGCTCAAGGTTGACTCAGCTTTCCCTCCTTCCAAGGTGGGTAAAATGAGGACTCAGATTCTTGGAGGCAATAGGCTGACTCTGTAAACTGCTTACTGAGGACTGTAAAGCACTGTGAAGCGGTATATAAGTCTAAATGCTATTGCTATAAGATACAACACTTAGTGATAGTCATAGGTTACTATTAAGCAATCAAAACATACGAGGAAGACAAATAAAACAATATAAATTGTAAAGATACAAGCAACACAGTTATAGTCATAAGTGGGAAGAGATAGGTACTAGGAAGGATGAGAAGAAGACAGTCTTAGTAAATAGTTTGACTAACGTAACAATTGCAGTGGTTCACTTAACAACCGTGGCAAGGAAAGGTCGTAGAATGGGGCAAAACACGCTTGACAAAATGTCTCATTGAGCAGCGTTTGTCATAATTCGAGGACTCCCTGTAAATGGCGGGATACATATAAATAAATGTCAAACGGTGAATACTTCCCAAGGCGTTTAATGGCCCTTTCCATTTTGTTGCAGATACAAAGCCCAAGGAATAAGTACCAAGAAGCCGGTTGACTCGACGTTCTACCTTCTGTTAGACCTGATCACGTTTTTTGACGAGTATCACGCTGGCCATATTGATAGGGCCTTTGATGTAAGTCTCCTCCCCTTTCTCTCTCTGAAGCTGTACAACTTTAATTGATTTTGAGTCTTAATACCTTGCCTCCAAATAGAGGCGACTGAATTTTACACTTGGAGAAAGTGGCCATTTGCTAACCGTTCTTGTCTTGGTCTCAGCTGAACCAGCCCATGGAAACGGAACCGAATAACGTTAAAAGGGCATTAAGGAACACTGGGCAGGTGGTGGTGGCTATTGGCAGAATTAAAAAACAAATCCTCTGCTTAATTTGTGTTTATTTCAGGAGACCATGGCAAAGTTTTAAGTTACAATATTTCATATATTTAAGCCTGACATGAAATAGTCATAACATTATGGTGACTCTACTAGCTTCTATCTCTGTCTGTCTGTCTCTCTCTCTCTGTCTTTCTCTCGTCTGTCTATCTATCTATCTATCTATCTATCTATCTATCTATCTATCTATCTATCTATCTACCTACCTACCTACCTACCTACCTATCTATCTCTCTGTGTGTAATGCTTGTAATAGCCTCTTTCCTACTCAGCACACATAGTAGTTAGGTTTGCACTGTGTGGGCTTTCCCCCTTTTCTAACAATGCTACATTACACGAAAATTTTGTACAATCCCATCGGCATGATTTGGGGGTAGAGAGGCCACAGGGAAGGGGATTGATTATTGCCCCATTCCTGCTCTGAACCAAGAGCCAGCCAAGAGCTCGGAGAGCAACAGTTACTCTGCAGCCGGGAGAGACGTGTTTACAGCAAATTTTCCCATTTCCGATTCCTGCTGGTTCCAGTTGTAGTCCAAACCGACAGGCTCAGGGCACGTCATCTTGCCTTATCTATGGATCTTTCTCTGCAGATCATCGAACAGCTAAAATTAGTCCCACTGAGTCAGGAGTACGTGGAAGAACGAGTCACAGCCTTCAGGCATTTCAGCGATGAAGTAAGCAAGTGGCGCTTTCTTGTCTCTGTTTGAATGAGGCATAACATCGGAGTTCTTGGATTGTGGAAATGATGACCGCTACTACTGCCTAGTTTTGTTACTTAACAGCATGCAAAAAAAAGGGGGGGGGGGAAAGGCTTTGAATCTGAAACCCGCCAGGCTCAAATCAGTTGTGATCATACCAGCAATGTCCCATTGCGATTCCAGAAATATTCTAGGCGCAAAATTGGTTCAGGATAGATTTTGAAATATCAATCAATCAATAACATCCGCATGACAACACTTCTGTTAAAATGGGAAGAGCGGTTTCTTGGGGAGCATTTTGAACTCAAGGAAGCATTTTGAGCTTTGAGCTAGCACTCTGCCGTTCTCAAGGTCATGCAGTTCACCATTGTCATATTGGCTACAAAGGGAAATTTGGGACAAGAAAGCTATTTGGGGGTCAAACTGCAAATTAAAATATTTGGGGAGTGTGTGGGGTCACCAATCCACCTCTCAAACTTTTAGAAGGCAGCAGAAGTAATAGTAAGGTGGAGATCTCGTTGGAGGGCAATTTGTTTGAATTGTTCATTTCCCCCCCCCCCCCCCCTTTTGGGGTGAAAAGTTAATGAATACATACTGCTTTTATTCCCATTCTTAAAGCCTTGTAAAATTGATCCAGGAAATTGCAACGCTGCACCTTTGGGAGAAATCGGTTTGCTAAGGGGCGAAAGGAAGTAGGAGGCCAGAATTGGCATGATTTCAGGGTTCAGCAGACCTATTCTGACCTAGGCTTTCCCAACAGCATGAACCCATCTCCTCGTCCTGATAAACTCCTTTTATTTAGTTTACAGTGAATTCCTCTCCAGCAAAGTTCTGGCCAACAGTCTTTCAAGAGATTTCACAATGACAGACCTTTATCAGGCTTGGAGAGTTGCCAGGCCGATATCTTTCAGGTGCCACACTGTAGCAGACAATACTTGGCAAGAATGCAGGAACAGATCTTCACCCAAATGAACGAATTGTCTCCTGCAAAACCCCACTCCCCTTTTGCTCCTCTTTTATTCCCTCTGGGAGGGGCCATTCACCGTCTATCTGTGGCTTTACTCCCAAGTCGACCCTTGTTCCTCAGCTGTTCCCTTCTTCTGGCAGCTCTGCACATGTGCACACTGGGAACAGGCTCCAGATGTTCTTCTGCCTCACTGATGTCCGATTCCAAAGGCAGCTGATAACTGTCAGATGGCCTTAGCCTCATCTCTGCCTCCAATGCAGAGCTCTCATCAGAGCCTTCCCTAGACTCCAGGACTGGCTCCCATTCCTCCCCAACCTCCTCACTGTCCTAATCTGCTGCCAGCTCTGCTGACCACTGGCAGGCCACAACAAGGCCATCTGAAGCCGACAGATTGACCCCTGGCCATCAACTGTAACTCAGAATCTCGCACACATGAATCCCCCCATTCCTGAAGTAGTTGGTACCAAAGGAAACCTGGAGAACAATTTGAGGTCCACCTCAACGATCTCTCTAGAGTCAACCAGTATGGCCTTCAACTCTCATTTCTTTTTTTCTTTTCACTCTGCTCGTCTTTTCTTCCCCTCTTACTTTTCTTAGATCAGGCACAATTTGTCAGAGGTCCTCCTTGCCACGATGAATATCTTGTTTACCCAGTATAAGAGGTTGAAATGTGCCAGCCCAGCCACGCCTGCTAGGCCCGCCCGGGTCATTGAGGACCGAGATTCGGTAAGTTTTTTCCCCTTAGCAAACAAGGTCACCTTTTCAGCGCAGCAGTGACCCATCTTCACAGCAGTGGTTATAAAAATCTACTGTTCGCTGCTGTACAAACCTGACCTTTGCAATTATTTGACGAGAGAAACTTCTTCCGCTGAGGAGAATGGGGACAAGAAAGATTTGCCCGAGGCTCTCCTAGAAATTAATAGCTAGGAAGAAATTTGGAGTCTGATGACTAGATGATCCCTATCTTCTTTCTGTGGATAAATTTTCTCCACGGGAGAGGTGTGCTTTGAATATTTCTCACCACATGCGTTTCAATGCATGCACGCACACGCAGACAGACAAGCACGAGAAGTGAAACGTCTTTAAGGAAAGAAAGAAGCCCACGTGCCTCTAGAAAAAGGACCTTTGGGATAACCATGACCTGGAGCAGGGGGTCTCCAACCTTGGCAACTTTTAAGACTTGTGAACTTCAACTCCCAACTCTGGGAGTTGAAGTCCACAAGTCTTAAAGTTGCCAAGGTTGAAGACCCCTGACCTGGAGGACTGAGAATCTCTTCAGACTTCCGTTTTCATTTTTTTTTTTGTATTGTTGCTTTTATTGCTTTTGTTTGTGGTACTGTGACCGTAATAAAGATGGTTGTTGTAAAATATGAAAAAAAAATTGGGGATGTTTCGCTTCTCGTCCAAGAACTTTCTTCAGAACTGAACAAGGTTCAAATAAATCCATTGACCTGTTAGCTTGCCACCTATCTGGCCTTACTTCTGATGGACCTTAAATACAGATGGGTCAGAATGCGAAAGACCAGGTCCACATGGGAAGGTCCAGTTAAACAGATTTATTGCTACTCATGGCTATGCACAGAAATATTCACAACTAACAGCTAGCACTTGCTTGGAGTTAGAGAAGGATCAGTGGAATTCAAGGGAAGTTGGACTTAGTCCACTTGTGGCTATTCCTCTTTTAACTCCACCCCAGCTTCTGCCACTTTTTCTCCTACAAGATGAGATTTTTGTTCCTTTCTAATGAGCCTATCCCAGGCTATCGTTCTCTCTCCAAACCTGCTTGGAATTAGAGAAGGGTCCATGGAATTCAAGGGAAGTTAGACTTCGTTCACTTGTGGCTATGTAGGGATTCTAGGCCGATTCCTCTTTTAACTCCACCCCCAGGTTCTGCCTTTCTTTAAACAGGGCTGTCAAACTCGCGGCCTGTGAGCTGGATGCCTCTCATGCTCTGACCACCCGCCCATGCCCGGTTTAGCAATGGGGGGGAAAAGTTGTGATATGTCACATGACGATGCTGTGATGATGTGAGTTTGACACCCCTATCCTACAACATAAGATTTTTGTTCCTTCGTAATGAGCCTATCCCGAGCTATCTTTCTCTCTCCAGACCTGCTTGGAGTTAGAAAAGGGTCCATGGAATTCAAGGGAAGTTGAACTTCCTTCAGTTGTGGCAACGTAGGGATTCTAAGGCCGATTCCTCGTTTAACTCCACCCCAGGTTTTTTCTCCTATAAGATGAGTTTTTTGTTCCTTTCTAATGAGACCATCCCTCGTTATCTTTCTCTCTCCAGACCTGGCTAATCTCTTTTTTTCTTTTGATGCCCCTTAGCAACTCCGATCTCAAGCTCGGGCACTCATCACCTTTGCCGGAATGATCCCCTACAGAACGTCAGGGGACACCAACGCCCGTCTAGTACAGATGGAGGTTCTCATGAACTAGCTGGGAGGGGAAGCCAGCTAGTAGTGGAGGTTCTTTTGTGTACACATTGAAAGGGTGATGGTTATGGGCCTCCAGTTTAATTTTTGTTTGTTTTCCTTTTCTTTTCTTTCTTTCTTTCTTTTTTTTTTGTATGCGTTTTTTGTCGACCACAATAAATTTCTTTGGATTTACACATTTGTTTCATTGATACCTTATTTTATATTGCACATTTTTTCTTATGTTCTCTCATTTATTTGTTTCACTTTTCAAACTCTTTCTTCTTTTGGAGGAAAATGGGAGAAGGTCTTTTTAAGTTATGACCAGGTCCTATGTCCTTATTTTACTCCCAGGAATATTCATAGACCCTTGTCACTGTTTGCCCCCATTCCAGGTCATTGACAGTTGACTGTTGTTTGTCAAATTCAACCCAATGTAATGTACATAATGGTTGGGTTGGCCCAACCCTTTCGACTACATGGAAATGGATAATTTATGTATTAATGTGTGATGGAAAGTCAGCAACTGCCTTAGCATATTTGGGGGCACCAGACTCTTAAATTTTTTGTCATTTTTCTTTCCTCTGAATGGCTCAAAGCCCTATGGATAAGACCAACACAGTGAAGAAGATAGAATTTTCAATCTGTTTTTTGGGGAGTATAATTTCCTCTGTGCGTCCTTTACAAAACATATGAAGGAAAAGTATACTAGATTTATTCATTGTTGGCTGTTGAATTTCAGTATGATCCTGGGGTGTGGGAGAGTTGTGATATATCAGTATGATTGAAAACAATTGGCCAGGGTTACTGGGAGTCAGTGGCACATAATTCATAATAATAAGAATAAATCTCAGATTCTATCCAATGAAACACTTTTCCAATCAGGTTGGGAGAAAAGCAAGCAGAACTGGGACTAAATCTTTAACTGGTATAACAGTTACTAAGTTAAAAATGCTATTTGATTAGTTAACGGTAAATAATGGGAATGAAATACTACTATACATTTGGAATAAGTAGAGAATAGTTAACTTGTAGTGCCTCTTTAGAATGTAGTTTTCCCTATGGATTCCTCAGTTTAGACTGCCACAAAGAAGCATAATATCACTATCAAAAGAATCAGTTTTTTTAAAAAATGTAAGTAATACTGAGTATCACTTTCCTTTAATTGTCATATTAATTATTCCCAAATGTAAACCCTGTACAACAATATAGAGATGTGATTCTTGGAATGAAGGATTATTTCTAGGTTAACTCTAATTTTGAGTGAACTTTCATGGCCAGGAAGAAATAATTCGCAAATAAATATATGCATGCGGAAAAGGGGAAACTGTACAGCCATGAACTGACTTTTTTTTTGGGGGGGGGGGGGGGGGGGGGGGGGGGCTCAATGGATTTCCCTACCCCCTTATTTTAGTCTGTTGTCCCCCAACTGTGTCGAACGCCAACTTAAGAGAATTTCCTGCCAGCTTGTCCAATTCAGTTGGAAATCATTGTTGAGGGAAGGTGTGTTGAAGCATTTATGTTGCATCAAGAGAAAGAAGGAAAGGAAATGTTCAAGATCGTCTCCTCCTCTCTGGAAATTTAAATATTGAGAGCTTAGGAGTATTTATTTTCTATTATTCACTAGTAATTGGTTAAAAAATAAGCGATCTGTGCAAATGAGATCTTCTCATTGATGGTTCTTGGCTTTAGGATCTGATAGGTCAATAATAGGTGAGAGCAATCAACCAATGGAATAGAAGTTGCCCTCGGAAGTTGTGGGAGCGCCATCACTGGAGACCTTCAAGAAGAGATTGGACTGCCATTAAATGGTGTAGGGTCTCCTGCTTGGGCGGGGGATTGGATTAGATGACCTACAAGGTCCCTTCCAACTCTGATTATCTGTTATCTGTCAAGGTAGCACTTTATCTGTTCTCTTTCTGTTGTTTCCCCAAGATGCATAGGGTTAAAAGGGACCTTGGAGGTCCTGTAGTCCAACCCTAACACCCAGAGAGGAATCTAGCTTTGCCTAGGGAGTTTTGTGCAGCCGATGAATAAACCCATCCTAGGGAAATGCTTGATTGTGGGGGGTGTGGGGGGGTGTTTTTTTCATGTGATTTATCTTGAAACAAGCTCAGTTCTTCAAAGCGGATGAGAAGCCAGAAGCTCCAGGCTGACGTCCTGGTATTGTTGCTGCAGCTGGTGTTGTGAATCAGGCCGACAAAAAGTGCATCTTACTATCCGGCTATTTCACTACACCAGGGTCGCATCATACCACTTGCACAACCCGTCGCCGACATGCAGATGATTCTCCCCGAAGCCGCCTCTGAGTCGTGGAATCAGAGCAGCCGCTGCTTCCCTCCTCTTCTGAATCCGAAGACGTCGGTGGCGTTTAGATCGGTCCAGATTTTGCTGAATGGGCGGGCAAGAAAGCTCCATTGCTTCTCCATCCTTCGTGCAGAAGAATGCCTCCCAAACGAGAGGATCTCTTAACTTAGAATGCATTTCACAAAAACAGCGGCTTTGCACGTCTTAGATAATTGGGGTGGGAAACCAGTGAGAAAGAAAATGGAGGGGCTCCCTTGTTGCTTTTTTATATGTATTTGTTTGTTTATTAAATTTATTTGCCGCCTATCTCGTAATGAAACGAACTCTGGGCAGCTTACAGCATTAAAATATTAAAATCCTAACACTAAAGATCTCCAAAAGAATAAAAGTGAGAATCCCAATCAAGACAAAATTGCGTTAAAAGGATTGTCGAAAAACTGATCTTCGGAATGCACGGTTGGTTTATGGAATGCGGGCCATTTGGTGGTGGAGTTTTGACCAAAAGCTACATGGTTTGTTGTTTTTTTCCCAAAAAACTCAATGCTTTTTGGGGGTAGGTCATGTTGTTTTGAAGTGTATGTCGATGGCTTGGAAACTAGGAGGAAAAATGGAAATGGGATATTTCATGTTGTAATTGCAAGTAAATGCATAAAAAAAATAAAGCTACAAAACTAGAAGGATGTTCATGCTCTGCCATGCATGCGTGGTCTGAAAAAGTTTCTATGTTTGAATGGTGATACAGGAACTGAATGGGCAAAGTCGTTCCCCACAAGAGGTTTTGAGTTCTCCAAAAAGCTGGGTCTTTGCATAGTGTGTTAGAAGTAGGATTATTTGATCCTGGCCATTTGAATCTTGAGTGAAAATTCTGAGTTAAATTTGTTTTTCCTTGAAGACGTTTCGCTTCACTGAAGAACTGAAGAAGCTTCTTGGGTGAGGAGTAAAACATCTTCAGGAAAAAACAAAGTCCAGTTGCCTTTTGAAAAAGCATTTTTGGGACAACCATGACTGAGAATTTCCATAGATATTGTTTAATGATCCTTTGGCTTTTCTTGGCTCTCCACAATATACTCTGGAGAGAGAAAAGGCTGGCTATAATTTTGCAGATCTAGAATAGCTTTCATCAACTGGACAACCTCCAGAATGGTTAGAATTTGAAGTACTTAATTTTTTGGAGGATGATCTGTTTTGGGGTTCTTTTTTCAATTTGAAGAGGAGAAGAGAGCCGTGCCATCAATAGCGGTTACCAGAGCCGACTATTCAAAACAAAAACCCACTACAATGCAGTGGCTAAAAATAAATGTTAATTTATTGTGCACTCGCCAAATCACCCTTCGCAGCCCAGCCGAAAAATGGCTCGGTTTTGCACTAGCTGGCGAAAAAGAGCAGCCGTCCTGGCTTCCAAACATTTTCCACCCAGCTCATTATCTATCTAAGCTTGAAAGTTGCTAAGTGACTTGGCAAATTGCCTGTAGCAATCAGCCTAATTCAGCATTTTGAATACAGGGAGTACTTAACTCCAACAGGTTTTCCAACTGTGAGCGGATATTTGTACGATGACATTTATAGTCATCCCTCTGGTGTCTGTGAGGCTCTCCACTTCTATCTTATCCTCCCCACGCTTTTGTAAGGTTGTCTAGGATGAGTGACTTTCCCAAAGTCATGCAAGGAACTAAAGGGACACTGAATCCACCCTGGATCTTAGGAGGTCCATTAAAGCAACATTATTTTTTTAAAGTAAAGTTTTCCATTGCCGCTGGACCAGAAGGGATAAAATAAAATATGAGATCATAAGAGAAAAAATTGATATAGTAATCTTAAACTATATACAAAAACAGCAAGTAAAGACATTTGCTCAGCTGGAGAGAATGTTTTGGGTTCCTATATCATACAAGGCATACACAAAAAGAGGAGAAGGTCAAAGAACATGAGGCAGATCCAGAAGAAGATGGAGAGACGGCCTCAAAGACACAATACAACATCCAATAACAAGGGTTGAGGCCACCGGAAGTGCAAAAACCAAAACTATGGAGTGTATATTAGAAGAGAAGACCCTTGAGAGTTGCATTTCATTTTAAAATTTCATTTTAATTATCATATCATATCCCCACCCCGATTTTCATAACTTTTAAAATAGCAATAGCACTTAGATTTATATACCGCTTCACAGTGCTTTACAGCCTCTCTAAGCAGTTTACAGAGTCAGCCTCTTGCCCCCAACAATCTGGGTCCTCATTTTACCCACCTGGGAAGGATGGAGGGCTGAGTCAACCTTGAGTTGGTCAGGATTGAACTGCTGACAGTTGGCAGAATTAGCTTGCAATACTGCATTCTAAGGAAGGAAGAAAGGAAGGAAGGGCAATAGCAATAGCACTTAAAATTTATATACCACTTCACAGTGCTTTACAACTTTCTCTAAGCTGTTTACAGAGTCAGCCTCTTGCCCCCAACAATCTGGGTCTTCATTTTACCCACCTCGGAAGGATGCAAGGCTGAGTCAACCCTGAGCCTGGTGAGATTCGAACTGCTAAATTGCAGGCAGCCGGCAGGCAGCAGAAGTGTGCTCTTCCCCCTCCCCACAAATGCAAAGATTTAAGAAAGAAAAATATCAAATGTCGGCTCCTAGTACTTGATTTTCAAAAAATACCACTCTAGCCTCCCTAAACTTTGAAAATTACCGTGTCAGCAGCTACAGCTCAGTGCTTTTCTGGGACAAAGGTTGGAAGGATCAAAGTAAACTGACTTTCGAACGAATTCTCTTCCTACCTCACCTTTTCCCCTGAGTGGCAAGAAATTTTAAATGGGCCCCCCAGCCAGAGAAGGACAAATGGCTATGCATTCATCATTGTCTGGCAAACTGATTTGATTTTAGATGAATTTGATTTTGGTTCACGCAGAATGCCCCATCTCTTTTCTCTACGACCAAAGACAGACCTTCCCACTGTTATACAGATCCTACCATCAGGAGGTTTTTTTCCTTCTGTATAAAGAGACTCCCATAAGCTTTATTTCTGATCTCAGTTCCCATAATTATGGAAAACTGTTCCTGAGCTTTTACCTACCACCCTCATTTACCTATGTGCTTGAAAACTGAAATCATGTATGTATTGATTTGTATCCCACTTTTATTTTTTACATATAACTGAAGGCGGGGAACATATCCAACATAGTTACCTCCTCCTATTTCCCCCCCCCCAACAACAACCCTATGAGGTAGGTTGGACTGAGGGGGGGATCAGATCAAGGTCACCTGGCTTGCTTTCATGGATAAGGTAGGACTACAATTCCCTGTTTCCTGGTGATTGGCTCAAAGTCACCTAACTGGCTTTCTTGCCTAAGGAAGGAGGGGGTACTAGAACTCACAGTCTCCTGGTGATAGGCCCAAAGTCACCTAGCTGCTTTTCATCAATAAGACCAGACTAGAACTCACAGTATAGAATAGAATAACAGAGTTGGAAGGGACCTTGGAGGTCTTCTAGTCCAACCCTTTGCTTAGGCAGGAAACCCTACACCACTTCAGATAAATGGTTATCCAACATCATCTTAAAAACGTCCAGTGTTGGGGCATTCACAACTTCTGGAGGCAGGTTGTTCCACTGGTTAATTGTTCTCACTGTCAGAAAATTTCTCCTTAGTTCTAAGTTGCTTCTCTCCTTGGTTAGTTTCCATCCATGGTTTCTTGTCCTGCCCTCAGGTGCTTTGGAGAGTAGCTGGACTCCCTCTTCTTTGGGGCAGCCCCCGAGATACTGGAACACTGCTATCATGTCACCCCTAGTCCTTCTTTTCATCTTCCACGCTTTATCCTGATGCTTTACCCACTAGACCAAACTGCTTCTCCTGTGTTCTCCTGGTCTTCCTTTTCTTCAGACTGAATATCTTCATCTCCACATATTTTCACTCTTCAGGGACTATGCCATTCCATGGCCTGTTGGCTAGAACTGGGTTTATCATAGAGATAACAGGGTAATTTTTCTTAAACTGCAGTGGTTATTGATTATTGGAAAGGGAAGATACTAATCTGGAAAAACAGATCATTCTGACAGGCGCTTTCGACTTGGTGTACACATGCAAACCTTTAGCTTTCACTGACTTTCTTGGCTACATGTAATCCTTGACTTACAACCACTCATTTAGTGACCGTTCGAACTTACAACGACACTGGAAAAAGTGACATGACCATCCCTGTGGTCACATGATCAAAATTCGGACCCTTGGCCTATGATCGTCTTTTACAACCTTCCGACAAGCCAAATCCATGGGGAAGAAAGATTCACTTAGCAACCGTGTTACTAACTTAACAAGTGCAGTGGTTCACTTAACAACGGTGGCAAAGGAGGTGCTACAATGGGGCAAAAGTCACTTACCCACTGTCTTGCTTAGCAATGGAACTTTTAGGCTCCATTTTGGTCGTAAGTCGAGAACTACTTGTATCATAAGTTTCCCAATCAAATATAGTTTAGGAAAAATCAGAGGCATGTTAGACTCGTTCTCAAAACGAGCAATAAAACTGGGCTCCGATTCCTTCCCATCTATTGTCTGACCTAATCTATATCTATAGAAGCGAAAGACCACTCACGCGTCATCACAAAATCTCCAGAACTGTAAAGCCTACAAACTTGAAATTTGGCACCTGTGTTCCTCTTGGCTTCTAGATGCTCACTAAGAAAGGATTTTTCAAAATGACCATCAGAGCATTAGTATTTCGTATAGTATTATTATTAACATGCTCTGACGCTAAAGGGTTCTACTCCCCCTCCCCACCTGAAAAGAATTCTGTTCCAAATGCAAAACACAAACAGAGGAGAGAAGTTTCAGTTTCACTTTTAGTTTCATAGCAGCAAGAAGCTTTAGTGCAGAACAGTTGAGCTAAGCCATGCCCAGGCTCCTTGCTGTCTCCTTGCTCACACAGCAAATACTCTTTCAGTTTCCAAACAGCCCTCAACTCTCACACACTGACTGACAGGACGCTAGCCAGATGAATACTGATGGATGCTGGTAGGCAGAGGCAGAATTACCCTTATTTTCCTCCCCAAACCTAAGCCCAATCACATAGTTTCGTCGCAAAGCACGGGTATCGAGCTAGTAATCAGTGCCCCAATTCCTTCCCAGCTTTTGTCTGACCTAATTAGGAGATAAGGGAAACTTAATGTACCCAAAGAAAATGAATCGCAACAGAAGTCTTTTTTCAGCCTTCTCTTTAGGTGGGTTTTTCATCAGCTTTTTCCCTTAGGACTTAATGCCAAATCTGTTATCACTGTCTTCATCTAGAACCGGAATTGGTGAGTGGTGATATTCCTGTAGGCTACTATTTTCAGCCACGAGCTCGGGAGTCTCTCCGGGCCATTATTTGGGGCCAGCTTTTTCTGGTTTCATAGGCGATAAAAAGCCCACCTGTCTGACCCACACTGCGTTACAGACCCCAATCTGCATGCTCCCCATCCCTGGGATCTGTGATTTCAGGGGGAATCGAGATGAAGAGAGGAGGGCATGAGATGGCGGAGCTGCCAGGGATCGAACGAGGAGAAAACCGGGAGTGCCTGAATGGCCGCTTCACCATTAGCACCCTGTTCAGCCCCGAAGGCAGCGGCACCAACCCCTACAGCCCAACGGGGGCTACTCCCTATGACATCACCCAAACCAGCCACTGTACCCATAACAGCACCTTCTACATGCAGACCTTTGGATATAACACCGTCGATGTTGTGCCCAACTATGAAAACTATGCCAACACCAAGATCTCTAGCGAAATGAAGAAGCCGAGACCAACACTTGCAGATCTGCACTCCTTTCTTAAGGTATACGCCAACTAATTCAGAGCCGTCCCCTTCCTCTTCCCCCTTCCCTTCCTTTCTTCATCCTCCTCTCTCTTCATCCTCCCTTCCCCTTCATCCTCCCTTCCCCTTCATTTCACTTCATCCCTTTCTTTCTTCATCTTCCCCTCCTTTTCCATCTTCCTCTCCCCTTCATCCTTCCTTCCCCTTCTTCTCTCTTCCCTTTATCCTCCCTTCCCCTTCACCCTTCCTTCCCCTTTTTCACTCTTCCCTTCCTTTTCCTCCCCTTCTTCACTCTCTCCTTCCCCGTCTTCATTCTTCCCTCCCCATCTTCTCCTCCCCTTCTTCATTTTTCCTTTTCCTTTTCCTTTCCTTTCCTTTCCTTTCCTTTCCTTTCCTTTCCTTTCCTTTCCTTTCCTTTCCTTTCCTTTCCTTTCCCTTCCTTTCCCTTCCCTTCCCTTCTTCATCCTCCTCTCTCTTCATCTTCCCATTCCTTCCCCTTCATCCTCCCTTCCCCTTCATTTCACTTCCCTTCATCCTTTTCTTTCTTCATCTTCCCCTCCTTTTTCATCTTCCCCTCCCACTTCATCCTTCTTTCCCCCTCCCCTTCATCCTTCCTTCCCCTTTTTCACTCTTCCTTTTCCTCCCCTTCTTCTCTCCTTCCCAGTCTTCATTCTTCCCTCCCCATCTCCTTTCCTTTTCCTTTTCCTTCCCTTCCCTTCCCTTCCCTTCCCTGATATCTCAGCTACTGCTGAGAAGTTCTGCTTGGCCATTTCCTTCCTAAAATAAAAAACTACAAATCTGTAGTCTTCTGCTGAGCCTGCTGTTGAGCTCTTTCTGTCTCAAGAGTGAAGTCCTCCAAGGGAAACACATTGCGATAAGCATCCTATTGTTCCGGATGCTTCTCAACTACATGGGCACCCCCACATTCTCCACGCTTTTATCAACCTCATATCCTTCCCCCTTAGAAACCGTTCTCTCTGTCCCTCTGTTTTTCCAGCCAGAAAATAGCCACCGGCATCCCCCGAGATACGAAGCCCACAGAAGAAGCAGCTGCTCAGAAGAAGCGGCAGACGAGGAGGATACTAAGGAGAAAGAGAAGGATCCAGGAGAGCCTGTCCGATTTGGATGGGTCAAGGGGGTGATGGTGAGTAGCTTTCACAGATCATCTTCTAAATCTCACACAGGATCCTTTCCAACCCACTCAATGCTCTGGGCTACTATTTCCACCATCCTGCAGCAGTTTGGTCTCATCTAAAGGGCAACACGTTCATTTACTACTCTGGTCTTGCCTCATTTTCATGATATAACTTTAACAGTCCTAAAGATGCGGTGGCTCAGTGGCTAAGGATGCTGAACTTGTCAGTCAGAGAGGTCGGCAGTTCGGCAGTTCGAATCCCTAGTGCCGCGTAATGGAGTGAGCTCCCGTTCCTCGTCCCAGCCTCTGCCAACCTAGCAATTCGAAAGCACGTAAAAAAAAAATGCAAGTAGGAAAATAGGGACCACTTTGGTGGGAAGGGAATAGCGTTCTGTGGACCTTCAAAGGCATTTAGTACTGCTGGCCACATGACCACGGAGACATCTTTGGACAGCGCTGGTTCTTCGGTTTTGTAATGGAGCTGGAAACGACTAGCATGGATGTGCGAGGGGAACCTTTACCTTTTTAAAGCAGGGGTACAAATTAAGTGTAAACCTCCAAAACCACCACATTAGTTTCTGAAAGCCATAGCTTCCTGCCACTGAATGGACCTTAGGTACCCAAATAACCAAAGATACAAAACTACATAGTGAAGAAATATTGAGTTAATTTGAATAAATGTTAAGAATATTTCTACTGCAATAATTTTCAAAAAAGAAAGGAAAACCCACAAAATAGATCCACGGAGAGACAGAAGCTCTGTGTAGGTGCTCTCTGATCTTGGGTGGTTTTCTTGCAGACGTTTTATCACCAACCTAGGAAACATAATCAGTGTTAGAATGGTATGGTATCTAGCAGGGTTAGAAGGGTATCTAGCACTAATGATGATATTTAGATTGGGTAATGAAACATCTGAAAAAAAAAATAGTCCACCAAGCTCAGAGAGCACCAAGGGCTCTTCATTCTGTTTTCTAAATCTTCAGCTAAAGTTGTCCTTAAGTTACACTTGTAATGGAGCCTGTCCATCACAATCGTGACTCATCATGGTCATAAAGCAGATCAATTGATCTGATTTTATGGCCTTTTTTATAGCAGTTGTTAAATGAACCCATGGTTCACTATAGGCTAAAAACTGGAAGCAAATTGTGGTAACATGACCGCAGAATGCTGCAAATACTTGTAAATGCAGCCTGGTTTGCCAAGCACCTGAAGTGTGGTCATATGACCATGGGGGAAGCCATCAGAACTTCAAATCCAGGTTATAAGAACCCCCATGCAGATCCCTCAGAACTTCCAATGATTGCTAAGTGACCTCTTGCTAAGTCAAAGTCTACCTTGACTTCTTTCCTTCTCCCTCTCTGTGTTCTGACCACGGCTTCCTAGATCGTAATTACACGCATGCTTATTTTAAAAACAAGTCTTATTTTATTGCAACACTAGAAATAGTTTTCATTTCCAGCCAAAATTAATGTCAAACAGTTCCTCGAAATAAGCACCCACCTTTCTATCCTGTGAAGCGCTGCCAATAACAGAAGTATCAAATGAACTAGAACAAAAACCAACCGAGGTACAAAGAGCTTAAAGAATGAATCTGAACCGAACGAATGACTTTGCTTCCTGCAAAGGTTTCGTCATCTTGGCCTGCCCTTTATCCCTTATGAGAGAGGCAATCACCTCCTAGCTTTACTCCCAATTTGCCCCTTTTGTCTCAGCTGCTCTTGCCTTCTAGCAGCTCTGTGCACACGCGCACTGGGAACAGGCTCCCCTGGGTCCTCTGCCTCGCTGCTGCCAGACTCCGCCGGCTCCAGAGGCAGCACCCCACTCCCAGATGGTCCTGGCCCCACCTCTGCATCGGATGCAGAACCCTTGTCCGAGTCCTCTCCAGACTCCCCTTTCCTCCCCACTGTCCAATTCCACTGCCGTCTGCACAGGCTGCCGGCGAACCATAAGACTGTTTGTCTGTCTCTCTCATCCCCAAACTTGATCGCAGAAAGTATGACTTCAGCTTCCCGAGTCCCAGCTGATCGGCTGGGTCTTCTTTGGTTGCCCTGCACAGGAGAACAGAACTGGAAAGCAGGTTAGTGGGGTGGGTAGGGAAGGGGGATTTTGCAGTATCCTTCCCCTGCCATGCCCACCAAGCCATGCCCACCAAGCCACACCATTTCCACCAAGCGATGCCCACCGAACAGGTGGTAAAATTTTTTGAATGCTACCACTGGCACAGTCTAATATTTTTCTAATTATACTTTCATCTGTAGGTGTGTCTTTATTTTTCCAACATTGCGCGAATTCAATTCTCGCTGCTCTCAGCACATGTATTAGAGCTTTATTATAGCGTTCTGGTAATATACCTAACAAAAATATTTCTGGTTTTAAATCTGTGTGCTGTTTATCATTTTCTCTAACCATGTATGTATTTTTCTCCATATTTTTTTTTGCCTTTGTGTATGTCCACCACATGTGATAGTAAGAACCCTGTATCTGATTGCATTTCCAACATCTGACCTTCCTTAAGGGGTCATCCTTCTTTGGTTCTTCCCAGTTACTAGTTGCTGCTTCTGCCTTCTAGATTCGTTGCATGCTTAACATCTGGGGTGTGATCCTGTATCTCCGGCTACCTTGGATAACTGCACAAGCAGGCATAGGTAAGTCCTGTCAAATTCATTTGCTGCTGGGCATAGCTGGCTGGGGAATTTTGGGAGATGAAGTCCACAAGTCTTAAAGTCGCCAAGGAGAAACAAGTTGGAGAACCTCAGTTTGTTCTGATCTAGGCTTCCTGAGAAAGCATAAGGCACAATCTTAGTCCTGGAAAAATCTCTTTTATTTCCATGGCTGTGAATTATATTCATTCACAGCTGGTCAGGCTTCACAAACAGTCTTTCAGAGGTATGTTTATAAACACCCACCTTATTGCACTTGGAATGCTGCCAGAGAGCTAATTGCAGGATGCAGGGCAAGGCCAAACTTGACACAGAGTCAAACAGCACTTTTCAAAGCTTGAACTGACCAGACGGACTAATTGCTTCCTGCAAAAGCTCACGTCCCGTTCGCTCCTCTTTTATGTCTCATGGGAGGGGCCAATCATCTCCGAGGTGTGGCCTTACTTCTCAGTTGACCCTGCTTTCTCAATTGTTCTGGTCTTCTGGTAGCCCTGTGTATGCGCAGGCTGGGAACCGGTTCCAGAACCTCCCCCGCCTCACTTCTGTCTGAGTCTGAAGGGAGCTGATGACTATCAGCCTGCCCTGGCCCCATCCCTGCCTCTAATGCTGAGCCCTTGTCCGAGCCCTCCTCAGCCTCCAAGACTGGCCCAGGTTCTCTCCCAACCTCCTCACTACTGTCTGACTCTGCTGCCAGCTCCATCAGTCACCACACAGTTGAACGAAAGCCTTCTAGCCCAAGAGAATTGAAATGACTTCTTTCATTTTGCAGCGCTGACTTGGGTGATCATTCTAATGTCTGTCACCGTGACCACCATCACCGGATTATCCATTTCTGCCATCTCCACCAACGGCAAAGTCAAATCAGGTATCAATTTATTCAGTAGCCAAAGAACAAGCGAAACCATCGGGGTGTGCATAGACTAAAGCATACTCCCGGATATTTGGACTGCCTCTCTCTCTCTCTTTTTGAATATAGATTTTTATTAAGTTTCATTATAAGATAAAAAGAAACAAAAAAGTTATAGAACTAAGAGAAAGTGAGAAGGGCTGAGAAAGAGGGGAAAAAGTATTAACTGCTGCCTTCAGGGCAGTAAAATACAAAATAAAACCATTACAATCTCAAGCTTTTGGCTTACGTTTCACAAATTTCAAGCCATTTCTATAATAATAATGAAAATCATTCTAATTATTAAACTAAAACTACAGTTTCATTTGTTCAGGTTTGAGCAAAATAAAAATAAAATAAAAATCCAGTAGTGGTTTCCAAGTAGAAACAAAATTAGATAGGCTCTTCTTAAAAACATCCAGTGATGGAGCATCCAGAACAATGGTGGGATTCACATTTTTTTTACTACCAGTTCTGTGGGTGTGGCTTGGTGGGTGTGGCAGGGAAAGGATACTGCAAAATCCCCATTCCCTCCCCACCCCACTAACCTGCTTTCCAGCTCCGTTCTCCTGTGCAAGGCAACCAAAGAAGACCCAGCCGATCAGCTGGGACTCAATGGGAGGCAGAGAAGAGATGGCGTTGGCAGAGCGAGTCAGAGGTGGGATTTGCTGGTTCTCCAAACTGCTCAAAGTTTCCACTACCGGTTCTGCAGAACTGGTCAGAACCTGCTGACCTCTGGTCTAGGGTCTTCTGCTTGAGCAGCAGGTTGGACTAGAAGCCCTCCAAGGTTCCTTCCAACTCTCCTATTCTGTTATTTAAAACAGCCACTTTTGCCATCTCTACTAACCCCATCATAAATCATAGTTATAATCATTAATTAATTAATTTAGTGTTGCATAACAGTGATTGCATAGGTGCCATACACGAAATAAATAAAATTGAAAAGCGACTGTGCTGATTGCACTGCTTCCATCTCTTAGGTGGGACGTATTTCCTCATTTCAAGAAGCCTTGGGCCAGAGTTGGGAGGCTCCATCGGCCTCATCTTCGCTTTTGCCAATGCCGTGGCTGTGGCCATGCATACGGTGGGCTTTGCAGAAACAGTGCGAGACCTCCTGCAGGTATGATGTGAGCAGAGTGGGAGCAATTGCTGGGAAAGGAAGCATGGGAAATGCTGGTTTTGCTGAATTGGGGCATGTTTGCATTGAGACCTAGCCAAGGCTGATCTTGAAAAAGCAACTTCAAATCTCAACAAATAAATGCTCTGTCCGATCTAAATATAGTATATAAAATCATACATTGCAATGTCCTACCTGCAAATGAATACTTCAGCTTCAATCATAACAATACAAGAGCACACAATAGATACAAACTCAAGGTTAACCGCACCAAACTTGACTGCAGGAAATACGACTTCAGCAACAGAGTGGTCAATGTTTGGAATATTCTACCTGACTCTGGTTTCTTCCCCAAACCCCAAAAACTTTAACCTTAGACTGTCTACTATTGACCTCACCCCCTCCCTAAGAGGTCTGTAGGGGGCGTGCATAAGTGCACCAATCGTGCCTACGTCCCTGTCCTATTGTTTCTTTTTATTTTTATTTTAAGTATCTATCTCATTTATTCAAAACTATGTTTATTCTTATACCTGTATCTTGTAAGCAATTGACAAATCAAATAAATACTAAAAAGAAAAAATAGTATTTGAATGGAGGTCATCACCAGATCTCTCAAAGCTATGGATTATACAAGGTTGGGGAGTCCAAGAGATGTTTCAGAAGAAAACAGTGTCAGCCCTTCAAGGATGCCCAAGTTAAGAAACCAACAGAAGACTAGAATGACACTTGATTAAGATAGGTCAAGTGTTTCTCCACCTTGGCCACTTGAAGACATCTGGACTTCAAACTCCCAGAATTCCCCATGGCTGGCTGAGGAATCCTGAGCATTAAAGTCTTCAAGTAGCCAAGGTGGAGAAATATTGAGATAGGCTACTGTAACAAAATCTTCGAAGTTTAATTGTGTTTCCCTTCCCTCCCTCTTGTACCCCATGAAGTCAGAAAGAGGCAAGCTGAGCTTCCTCCTATACTATCTTCTTTCTCAGGGTTCAAAGAAAGCTTCTGCCTTCTTAGATTTATGGAAACTGAAACATCTGTACCTCTAGTCTAGTGAACACTTCAGAGCTTTTCAACTCTGCTCACCTGGATTTGCTAGAAATCTATCAGGCCCTTTTCCTTTTTTTAAAAAAAATCTTGAGTTCAATCTGTAGGGTGGTGGACCATTCCCTTGGCCCAATCCAGGAAATTTGCAGTTGTCTGATGGATGGATTTTTCTCTCCAAAGGAATATAACTCAAGCATGGTGGATCCAACCAATGACATCCGCATCATCGGAGTTGTCACAGTGACGGTGCTGCTTGGAGTATCCTTGGCTGGGATGGAGTGGGAAGCCAAGGTAAGTGCATTATTGTGGGAAATGGGGAAGATTGGGCTGATTTGGGAGGAAGCATCTTCCATTGTGGGAATCACTATAGCTTTCCATGGTCTACATATCTCACAGTCCTTAGATGCTGGGCCATCTTGGCCATCATGATTGAGTTGTAGGTCAGGAATGAGCAAAGCCAACTCCAAAAAAAGGGGGAGTGGACCTATGGATGTTCAACCCTTTTTAGAATCCCCTACCTTCTCTCTCTCCCACGGATGCTACAAACTGGGTAGTACTTACTCTGAGTAGAAAACTGAACTATATTGCAGATAGCTTTTCAAAAATCAGTGGAGGGCAATACTTTATAGATTTAGTTTTCCTAGCTAGATATTCTTCAGTTGTGTTGGCCAAAACTGGCAAAGGATCTGGGGAATGACATCCCAACCATGTCTACATTGGTGAAGGTTGGTAACTGAAGAACAGTTACTGGAGACTTTGACCTGTTACCCATTAGAACAAAATTACCACACCCCAAAGTGGAGCAACTGTTCTCCACCCCACCAACTCCTTTCCCTTTTGGGGAATCCTGAGTTAAGTAAACCCAAGATAAGAAAGTCCTTTTGTTATGCTGGCTCAGGAGGATGGAAGTTTGGATATGAATCAAGGTGGAAAAAAAATAAGCTATCACGTTGGAAGGGGATGGCCAACATTTCTGAAAAACCGCCAAGAGGATGGGGAGAATGAGTGCTTTCATCAAACAAATCTATATAGTCACTTAGGTCAGGCATGATGGGGTTTGTAGTCAGTGGTGGGATTCAGCCAGTTCGCACCACTTCGGTTGTTAACTTTCTGAGAAGTTTGGTGAACTAGTTGTTAGAAGAAATCATTAGGGCAGAGAACCGGTTGTTAAATTATTTGAATCCCACCACTGTTTGTAGTCCAATACCCAGAGAGAGTATTGTGTTGGGGGAGGGCAATTGTTGTTTAAACCAGGGTCGCCAATCTTTTGGACCTCAGGGACCACCAAACTCATAATTTTAAATCCCGCGGACCAGAGACCCTGGGAAAATCCCCCCAAAAGTCTGCAGGAAAATTCCCCACCCCGTTTTCCTACCGATCGATGATTCTTTATTTGGGATCACAGGATACCGTCTCCAGCTCCGTTCTCGGGGGGGAGGGGGGAGGGGGGGAATAGATTTTTGGCTTCATGCAAGGAAATCAGCAGAAGCAGCAGAAGTCTTTCTTTCTCTCCCCCAAACTCAGCCAGAAATGAGTCTTTGTGAGACTTCTCACGCTGGTGCAGCCTCTTGGAGCAGGATGCCTTGCAGGATCCCAAAGACTCATTTCTGGCAGAGTTTGGAGGAGAGAAAGAAAGACTTTTGCTGCTTTCCTTGTGTGCAGCCAAAAGCAGAAGAAGACAGAAGAAGAAAGAAACTGAAAGAAGCAGCTCGGTGGCCAGGCCAGGTGCGTGGATCAATTGGGGCAAGTTCCCCCCTCCGCCCTTTCCCCTCTCCTCTCACTACCTCATGTTGTTCTCAATGCAAGCTACGCAAGCCTTGTGTTCCCATGAGCCATGTGGGTGGCGCAGCCTTGTCTTCCTGCACAGCCTGGATTAATTGCTTGGGGGTGACATTTCTCTGCGGACCACCAAAACTTTCTCGCGGATCATCAGTGGTCCCTGCCCCACCGGTTTTGGCGACCACTGATCAAAACTGGTCATAATGGCTATGGCTATATAAAGGAGACCAAATCTGGGAAGATTGATCTAAACTCTTCAAACTGCCCTTCATGTATTGTTTGCTTGGTTTTGCAAGGCCCAAGTTCTGTTTTTTGTGGTGATCATGATTTCCTTCATTAACTACGTGGTGGGGACGGTTATGCCAGCCACCGAGGAGAAGCAGGCCAAAGGATTTTTCAGCTACCAAGGTGAGTGGGAGAGAGGTGGGCTGAAGAAGGGGCCGTTTGCAGATGAAAAGTTCCAGGACACTTTGATTCGGGGCAAGGGGTAGAATGGGAAGAAGTGGATGGATGGGTGTGTGTGTGTGTGTATATATTTATATATCTAAGCATGGTATATAAAATCATAGATTGCAATGTCCTACCTGTCAATGAATACTTCAGCTTCAACCATAACAACACAAGAGCAAACAATAGATACAAACTCAAGGTTAATTGCACAAAACTTGATTGCAGGAAATACGACTTCAGCAACAGAGGGGTCAATGTCTGGAATACTCTACCTGACTCTGTGGTTTCTTCCCCAAACCCCAAAAACTTTAACCTTAGACTGTCTACTATTGACCTCACCCCTTTCCTAAGAGGCCTGTAGGGGGCGTGCATAAGCGCACCAATCGTGCCTACCGTCCCTGTCCTATTGTTTTTTTTGTTTTTCTTATATGTATCCATTTCATGTATTCATAACTATGTTTTTACTTATACCTGTCATCTTGTAAGCAATTGACAAAAATAACTAAATAAAAATAAAAAAATAAAATTTTGAGACATACGGACTTCAACACCCATAATTCGACAGCCAGCCATGTTGCCTGAGGGATTCTGGGAGATGAAGTCCACATTTACTTCTCAACTGTAGCAACTTTAAGACATGTGGACTTCAACTCCCAGAGTTCAATGGCCCACCATGTTATCTGAAGGATTCTGGGAGATGAAGTCCATATTTACTTCTCAATTGTAGCAACTTTTTAAGTCAGGTTGACTTCAACTCCCAGAATTCAATAGCCAGCCATTTTGTCTGAGGGATCCTGGGAGCTGACGGCAGTGGAACTCTGGGAATTGAAGTCCACATGTCTTAAAATTTCCAGGGCTGAGAAACACCACTTTAAAAGGAGTGCAAGCAGGCACAACGTAGGGTGGTTCAAAACAATCAAGAGGGCAGTCCCAAATAAACGATGGAAGCTGTGCCCCTTCATTTGATGTGTCCAAGAAACAAGACTTTGATTGCATGGATACGGTTGTCCCACCTCCCTCCATGCACGTCCCTCAATCCAAGCATAACTTTATAAACTGAACAATCCATTTTTTTCCCTTCAGCCAACATTTTTGCTCAGAACTTTGTTCCCAGCTGGCGGGGCCCCGATGGCAGCTTCTTCGGTTTGTTTTCCATCTTCTTCCCATCAGCCACTGGCATCTTGGCAGGAGCCAACATTTCAGGTGATTTGAAGGTAGGCCTGGTTGGCTGCGGCCACAGGGAGGAGAAGGGGTACCTGTCCAGCTGTCAAATTATCTGTCATGCCCTTGTTGGAGTCTGATTCTGAGGGGGAGGTCAAGCAGCCGACAGGGAGTGGGAGTGTGGCTCCGGTGGCTGTGGAGGAAATGGAGAAGGGCACAGTCCGGCTGGGCATTCAGAGGAAGACCCAGGCCCACCTCCTCTTCATCCTAGGGCATGCGGGGAGGGGGAACGGAGAAGGGAGCAAAGTGGCTTACGAGAGAGAAAAGGGCCCTGATCCCTTTCATTAGTTGCAGCTGGGAGAACAGGATATAAGAGGGGCATTTGCAAACAGCTCCTTGCTGGAAGCAAAGTGTGCATTATCTTTGTCAGGCTTATCTGGGTTTTGGCATCCTCCCAACTGTGGGTGCTGTGTTATCTGTTCTAAGTCTGCAATTTATCATCCTGGCCTGCCGTGTTAATTACTTCAGCGTGGTTTGTGCTGTTTTTTTTAAAAATTTCTAATTATTTTTACTTTGGGTTCGGGCATTTCATCCCTTCGTAGACTGTTTTTTGAAGAGTTTGATCTCCAGCCAAGGATAACTGGACATTGGGGGCCAAGTTGGAGGCATTAAAGGGAATTTATTCTACTTTTGTGACTTTGCCCCAGATCATCACATTATCATTTGTTTCTCTTGGCCAGGATCCTGCTGTGGCAATTCCTAAAGGAACCCTCATGGCTATTTTTTGGACAACCGTATCATACCTGGTTCTGTCAGCTACAATTGGTACGTTTATGGATAGGTACAACTACACATATTAGGACAAAAATTGTGTGGGGTGAACTCAGTTTATCACGACTTAGCACACCACGTTTTTGTAATTTTTCTAACTCACTGGCAAGCAAGGAGGGACAAGGGCTGGGACTAAGGCTATGAGAGGTCTCCCTTTGGTTACACTTCTAAGAGTCTAAAACATGAGCAGAATCTAGAAGTATTTAGATACACCTATGCTTTCAGGTTTCTAGACTCTCAAAATGATGAAACAAGTGTGGACTTTTTATATTTCAATCCAGTTGTTGCACCAAGCACAACTCGTCTTGCGTACAGTATTGTGTAATTTTGGGGTGATGTAAAAATTCAAATTCCCATCCCTTCCCCTTCCGTGGGTCACGATCTCCCATGGACCTGGTTCTAAATGTCTTTGAAAGAACTAAAAACGCTTCACAGTAGTTTTCCCAGAGATCAACCAGAGAAGATGATGGGATCCCACAAACATTTTTTTCCCCATTGTCTTCTGCCTCTTTGGATTTTCGGGACTAGCTGATGTGAAAGCACAACACACAAAGCTGCAGAGATCTTCATAAAAGAGTTGGTGTTCGGGTCTTCATTGGAAAAAACGGGATGGAAAAGAAGTAAGAAATTAACCTTGATGGTTTTTCCTAGGTTCCTGTGTTGTCCGTGATGCCTCTGGAAGCCTTAATGATACCGTCCTCGCTGGTTCCATGGGCTGTGAAGGCATTGCTTGTGGTTATGGCTGGAACTTCACAGAGTGTGCTCAGAGCCATAGCTGTCAATATGGGCTGATCAATTATTATCAGGTACAGAAAATTGTAGAATGTGGTGGTTGGAAGGAAACCATCAAGTTCAACTCCATTCTGAGGGCTGGAATCTACTACTTGTAGGTAGTAGTGGGATTCAAAAAATTTTACTATCAGTTCTTTGGACATGGCTTTGTGGGCATGGCAGGGGAAGGATACTGTAAAATCTCCAGTCTGAGGTGGGATTTGCCGGTTCTCCGAACTACTCAAAATTTCCGCTACTGGTTCTCCAGAACTGGTCAGAACCTGTTGGAAACCACCTCTGCTTGTAGGAGAAGAGCAGGCAGAGGAGGGAGGAATTAAATGTGTCATTAGCTTAGAATCCTTACTTTGCCACGAACAGTCTAACTCCAACCTCTTCTGAATTCCATCGACCCTTATCTGGCACCAATTTAATACTGAACTTTAGCTGAGTAGATTTGTGTTTAGGCTTGAATAAAACATCTGTGCTGCAACTTAACTTATGGTCCTGATCCTTTGCGCCTGACATTATACTGTTTCCCCACTACTAGAGGTGTTCACTAATCACTGTTCAGGAGGAAGAGAAGTTGCATTTAAATGCATATGTTGCATTTAAACCCTGATGGGAGTCAAATGTAGCTCTCATTTCTCATGCAGCTTTTCCAAACTTTATCCTCGACTTATGACTATAATTGAGTCCAACATTGCGAAGCAAGACAGTTGTTAAGTGAGATTTGCCCCATTTGTTGACCTTCCTTGTCACAGTTGTTAAGCGAACCACTGCAGCTATTACCATGGTTGTTAAGTGAATCTGGCTTCCCCAACTGACTTTGTTAGTCAGACAGTCACAAAAGGTGTTCCCATGACATTGCAACAAGTCATAAATATGAGTCAGTTGACCAGCATCCAAATTTTGATCACGTGACCCCGGAGATGCTGCAACAGTCCTAAACTGTGAAAAACAGTCATCCATCACTTTTTTCATTGCCGTCGTAGCTTTGAATGGTTATTAAACAAATGCTTGCAAGTCAAGGACTACCTGTATAATTATAGACAAGGGTACCGTACTTGCTGATGGAAGTAAGTCAAAATAAACCACCTTATTCAGTAGGGACATGTAAGCAGAGGTGGTATTCAGCCAGTTCTGACCAGTTCTGGAGAACCGGTAGCAGAAATTTTGAGTAGTTCGGAGAACAGGCAAATCCCACCTCTGACTGGCCCCGCCAACTCCATCTCTTCTCTGCCTCCCGAGTCCCAGCTGATCGGCTGGGTCTTCTTTGGCTCAAAGAAGAATTTATTGGATACATCATATTGGCACAACTGGTGAAAGTCGAGTCTGGAATTTCCCACTGTTTTCACCTAATTAAAAGTAAAAGTTTCCCCTTCCCCTTTCTCCACAAGTCACTGGCTGTCCAATCAAGTTGCTGGCCGGTTGCTTGGTTACTTCAGTCCTCCTCTGGCCAGAATATCCTTGGTTCCCACAGGAAAACTTTCTTGTTTGGGCTGCAAAACCCCATCCAACTATTTTCCCCCCTCCTTCTGTTGTGTGGCAACCTTGAAGTCTCCAAGATGGCCTCAGCCAGGTTCACTTCAGGGTTGACACTATGTCTTTATCTGCATGCCCAATCCACATTTCAGATCAAATTGTCTACCTGTTGCTTATCCTGCAGACCATGAGCATGGTTTCTGGCTTTGCCCCTCTCATCACAGCTGGGATTTTTGGGGCCACCCTCTCTTCGGCATTGGCTTGCCTCGTCTCAGCCCCCAAAGTCTTCCAGGTGAGATCCATTATTAATCTATCAAAGAAGACAATAAAACTCTCCCATCTTTGTCTGGTGTTGGGTTGCCGGCCAGAGAATCCTAAAGCTGGAAGAGTCGAATGGGGCCCCCAAGTTCCTATCATCTTCTTGGGTGATCATAATGATGGAAGCTGTAGACCCACCTTTTGACCGACATGAACTTGAAGAAGATGGACCCAAGTTTCTGGTCACTGCAGTCAGAGTTTCCCAGAGTAAAGGTGAAAATGCTTCCAAGTCAGGCTCACCTCTTATGTAGAAGAACTGCTACGATGACTACCTCTAAGCAGGGATCTTGGGAACAGTATATAAGTGGTTTGCCAGGATTTTTTTCCGCAGCAGCATTAGACTTCTGAGATTCACCCATCCAAATACTAACCCCAGTAGACCTTACTTAGCTTCTGAGATCAGACACGGCCATCTGGCTGTTGCTTTCTGAGGTGGCTTCTCAGAAGAACATGAGCAACAAACCAACAAATAGACAAACAAACGTCTGCCTGGAAATTTACAGTCTGAAGTTTGACATAGGAATACAACAGAATTGGCATAGGGCCATCAAGGAAAAAACAGCAGAGAAAGAATAATCTCCATTAGATGAACATGCAGAGCCAAATTAGATTATATCAGCTATTCTAGGAATAGATTGCTCTGCTTCGGGGGGGTTTGTAAATAAATATTTATGGAATGTGTGTCTCTTTTAGGAAGCTTAATGTTGCAGTCCAGGGGATTAGTTGACTGCCAGGAATAAAGGGTGGATTGAGGCCCTCCAAAAAGTCAATTAAAACATTTCTTTTTGGACCCCACCTCTGCTGATGTTGTTGATTTGCTTCTTGCTTTACTGACCGGAAGATTTATAGCCTGTTTGCTAATACAATGTAGCAATATAGAAAAATAGATACCAGCCAATAGGTATTAGGACAATGCTATTGACATATATTTAATCTAAAACCTTGATCGAAAGCTAGAGAGATAAGCTATGAGTTTACCATGTAGCCCTGATTCTGATATACAGTTGAGTGCACATGGCATATATTTAGTGTGCTACCCAATAAAGGAGAAATTTTGTAGGTCAGTGGTGAAACGAGGGGTCTTTGATGCTTTCTGAGCTTGCTCATTTCATTCATTCATTCATTCATTCATTCATTCATGTCATGAAACGTCTGCAAGAAAACAAACAGAGAGCACCAAGGACCCCTCAGCGTCAAACGTGTTTGTTGCTGTTGAGAAAACTCCAACCTTTCCTTCCCTCAGTTTCAGATGATAGACTTTTTGTGCGAGGAAGTCTTAATTAAAAAAACACTTCAGAGGGTGAAAATCATTGCCCAGAGGATCATTGGTTGTCCTCTTCCCTCTTTGGAAGAGCTTTATAGCTCCCGTTGCCCTAAGAAAGTTCAAAACATTCTCAAAGATCCATCTCATCCTGGGAACCCTTTTCTTGAACTATTACCACCTGGCAGACGGTACAGGATAATAATAAAAACAAGCACAAATAGGCTGAAAAACAGCTTCTATCCCAGGGCTGTAGCTCTGTTGAATTCTGCTGTATATAGTGCAGTGTTGGTGCGGTGCTGGGGGTTTCGGTTCAGTGTGTGGAGTGTGAAGGATGTGTGTTTGTGTTTATTTTCATGGTCATGGATGTGCCCTGAAGATGGTGTTTGATTTCGTTGTACGAGGTGCAATGACAATAAAGTAAACTAAGCTAAACTAAACTAATTGTTGTGGGAATCCATGAGCACTTGAGAAGTCAGCATGAATGATCTCTCTGCTTCCCCAACAGTGTCTTTGTAAGGATGAACTATACCCGGCCATTGGCTTTTTTGGAAAGGGCTATGGAACAAATAATGAACCAATCAGGGGTTACATGCTGACATACCTCATCGCGGTTGGCTTCATCCTGATAGGTAAGATTGGCAAGGATCAGAGGTGGTATTCAGCCAGTTCTGACTGGTTCTGGAGAACCGATAGTGGAAATTTTGAGTAGTTCAGAGAACCAGCAAATCCTGCCCCGCCTCCATCTCTTCTCTGCCTCCCATTGAGTCCCAGCTGATTGGCTGGGTCTTCTTTGGTTGCCCTGCACAGGAGAACAGAGCTGGAAAGCAGGTTAGTGGGGTGGGGAGGGAATGGAGATTTTGCAGTATCCTTCCACCAGGAGTGGGGAGGGAATGGGGATTTTACAATATCCTTCCCCTGCCATGCCCATCAAGCCACGCCTACCAAGTCACGCCCACAGAACCACAGAAACATCACCCCATTCCTAAGAAGTCTGTAAGGGGCGTGCATAAGCGCACAATTGTGCCTACCGTCCCTGTCCTATTGTCCCCAATTATTAGTTCCTATTTCTTATATTTGAATTTATGTTTATTCTTATTTCTATTGTATTGTAAGCTTTTTGACAAAATAAATAAATTAATTAAAAAATAAAATAAAAAAGAACCAGTAGTAAAAAAATTTGAATCCCACCACTGGCAAAGATGTTCTTCAACACAAAGAATCTGGTCTTGCTCTTAGGAGATTTTGCTAACCAAAGAAGAGGAACCCGTTCCTTTGACAGTTTCCTGAAATAAAATGTTTCCTTCTGAAGTTCAGTTCTCAGAGTACTCTTTAGCAAGATTTATTGAGAGAGGGGGAAAAAAATAGTAAACTAAACAAGGCAGTCACTATGTCTGTAATCCAAAAGCCCTGTAATCCAAAGGCCCAGAGACAAACTTTCACAGAATATCACTTCCGGATAATGCCAACAGACTACAGGAGGTCCTCAACATATGACCACAATTGAAGCCCACATTTCTGTTGTTAAGTTGAGACTTTTGTTAAGTGAGTCTTGCCCCATTTTGCAACCTTTCTGTTCTGACCCAACCTGGTTCCAAGAGAGCAAACACAAGACAAAGGCAGCAGCCCCCACCTTTTAAGGTTTCATTCACGAATTCTATTTCTTCACAGATAAAAGGCTGCTTCCAACTAATTTGCTCCGACAAGAAAGAACCTTGCCAAGTTGTTCTTCAAGGCTGCCAAAAACCCACAGATAAGAAATAGTTTACAAGAGTTTTCAAATACTAACTATAATGTCCACGAGGCTGAGTTTCAGAGCGTCTTTGCCTTCTGCAAAGAACGCTTCTTCAAACCTGGCTTTTATCCTCTTGAGGGAGGGGCCATTACCTTGCAGCCTTACTCCCGAATCGCCCGTGCTGTTGTAGCTGCTCTTTCCTGTGAGTAGCCCTGCGCACACGCGCACTTGGCACAGGCTCCTCGGGAACCTCCTCAATCACTGCTGCCAACCCCCCACAATCTCTGAAGGCAGCAGTCCACTCCCAAATGGTCCTCGCCCCTCATCTGAGTCCTCGCTCTCCTCAGCCATCCACACCTGCTGCCAGTTAACCACAACACTTTCTTGCCACTGTTGGTAAATGAATCACTGCAGCTGATAAGTTGTTAAGTGAATGTGGCTGCCCCATTGACTTTGCTTGTCACAAGGTCGCGACACTGCAACCGTCATAAATATGAACCAGTTGCCAAGCATCTGAATTTTGATCATATGATCATGCAGACGCTACAAAGGTTGCAACTGTGAAAAATGGTCATAAGTTGACTTTTCTCAGTGCCGTTGTAATGTTGGTCACTAAATGAACTGTTGTAAGTCGAGGACTACCTGTATTTGGAAAGAAAATACAAAGAATTACCAATTATGCACCATTTTTAATAATTCGCAGGTAGAAGATCAGGTCCATGACTTATTACATTGCATTCCAAGGAATAATTACATTCCTGTGTTGGTATTAGCCCTAGAACTGTCAATCTGTCAACTTAAAATTGCAGACAGATAACATTCTACCACATTTCTATCCCCGAGTTGTGACTTCTGTGCTAAAATCCCTCCATTTTTTTTTATTGCCAAATGTCTGTGTTTTGAACAATATGCAGAAATAAACTCACTCTCTCTCTTTCCACCTTCTCTGCAGCGGAACTGAATGCCATCGCTCCCATCATCTCCAACTTCTTCCTCTGCTCCTACGCGCTCATCAATTTCAGCTGCTTCCATGCCTCTATCACCAACTCACCAGGTGAGGGCTTTCATCCCAGGGCTTAGCAGCAAAGATCACCCACCAACTTGGGTTCAAGATCTTCAGAGGTTTCCTTCCAGGAAACATAAAGTCAGTGAAGATCCTTTCTGAGTTCCTTCCTCTTCCTGTTAGGCTGCTGAGGACTCTTCCCTCTCTTATCTGATTGTTCTTTCCCCCACCACCTGAAGACATTCCCTCATACCATTACACATGCTGACCAGCCATCACTCTGCAACAAGGCAAAGCAAGGGTGTAATAAAGAGCCACGGTGGCACAGTGGTTAGAAGGCAGTATGGCAGGTTAACTCTGTTCACAGCCAGCAGTTCGATCCTGACTGGCTCAAGGTGAACTCAGCCTTCCATCCTTTCAAGGTTGGTGAAACGAGAACCCAGATAGTTGGGGGCAAAATGATGACTCTGTAAACACCTCAGAGAGGGCTGTAAACCACTGTGAAGTGGTATATAAAGTCTAAGTGCTATTGCTTGTGAAGAGAAGGAAGGAAGGAAGGAAGGAAGGAAGCAAGCAAGGAAGGAAGGAAGGAAGGAAGGAAGGAAGGAAGGAAGGAAGGAAGGAAGGAAGGAAAGGAAGGAAGGAAGGAAGGAAGGAAGGAAAGGAAGGAAGGAAAATGAAAAAGGAAGGAAGGGAAACGAGGAGAAGAAAGGAAGCTGTGGTGGCACAATGGTTAGATTGCAGTATTGCAGGCTAATTCTGCCCACTGTCAGCAATTCGATCCTGACTGGCTCAAGGTTGACTCAGCCTTCTGTCCTTCTGAGTTGGGTAAATGAGGACCCAGATTGTTAGAGACAATAGACTGACTTTTTAAACTGCTTAGAAAGGGCTGTAAAGCACTGTGAAGTGGTATATAAATCTTAAGTGCTATTGCTATTGCCCTTCCTTCCTTCCTTCCTTCCTTCCTTCCTTCCTTCCTTCCTTCCTGCCTGCCTGCCTGCCTGCCTGCCTGCCTGCCTGCCTGCCAGCCTGCCAGCCTGCCAGCCAGCCGGCCGGCCGGCCAGCCAGCCATGATGCACAGTGGTTAGAATGCAGTATTGCAGGCTAATTCTGCCCACTGTCAGCAGGTCGACCCTGACTGGCTCAAGGTGGACTCAGCCTTCCATCCTTCTGAGGTTGGTAAAATGAAGAACTAGATTGCTGGGGGCAATAGGCTGACATTTGTAAACTACGCAGAGAGGACTGTAAAGAACTATGAAGCGGTATATAAGTCTAAGTGCTATTGCTATAGCCCTTCCTTCCTTCCTTCCTTCCTTCCTTCCTTCCTTCCTTCCTTCCTTCCTTCCTTCCTTCCTTCCTTCCTTCCTTCCTTCCTTCCTTCCTTCCTTCCTTCCTTCCTTCCTTCCTCTGTCCCTTCCTTTCCTTGGTGACACATGGGTTAGAATGCAGTATTGGAGGGTGATTCTGCCCACTGCCAACAGTTCTATCCTGACCATCTCAAGGTCGACTCAGCCTTCCATCCTTCCAAAGTTGGTAAAATGAGGACCCAGATTGTTGGGGGCAACAGGCTGACTCTGTAAACAGCTTAGAGGGGGCTGTAAAAGAAATATGAAGGGGTATATTAGTCTAAGTGCTATTGCTATTTAGAGTATTTGAAGAGTTGTTTAAAAGTGCCTTATGAATGGACTCCTATCAAGTATTTTTCCCCTTCAGGTTGGAGACCCTCCTTTAGGTATTATAGCAAGTGGGCAGCTCTGTTTGGGGCCATCATTTCTGTCATTATCATGTTCCTGCTAACCTGGTGGGCTGCCCTCATCGCTATTGGGGTTGTGGTGTTCTTGCTTGGATACGTTCTTTACAAGAAGCCTGGTATGTGCCTCCTATTTTTTTTATATACATATAAATTAAAAAACTGCTCAATAAAACAATGAACTGATCTGAGGTAATAACTGTTTTGTCCCCTCAGGCGTTAACTGGGGCTCATCTGTTCAAGCCGGTTCCTATAACATGGCGCTGAATTATTCCGTGAGTCTCAACGAGGTAGATGACCATATTAAAAATTACAGGTAAGGTTTTGTGAGCCACTGGGTTTCCATGGGCGACCCTGCCGGTGAGGTTAAGTGTACCTCCCCTGATCTGCAAAAGTTTACCAAAATCAGCTTTTCCCTGCAAGAATCTTGGTGCTTGGTAGAAATCCCAAACTCCATTTTTCCATCCATTGTTTGGCTACACAATTTGCCCATGGTTCCATCCATCAGGAAGATCCATGTTGCAAATTCAGATGCAACTATGTGAATGAGGACAAAACAAGGGCAAAGGGAGGTTGATGGGCCTCCCTGCCTTGCCCTTCAGCTGAGAAAACATGGACATTTGTACACCACTGGTAGCTGCTTGTTGCAATTGTCCTTCTTTGGTCCTTTCTGGAACCCAACAGCAGTCACACAGAAGGACTGGACCGGTTCCATGCAAATAGTTAAGTACTAATATCTCCTTGTTCTATCTTCAGGCCTCAATGCCTTGTCCTAACTGGTCCTCCCAACTTCCGCCCAGCCCTGGTTGATTTTGTGGGCACTTTTACGAAAAATTTGAGTCTGATGATCTGTGGAAATGTGTTGATCGTGAGTATTTGTTCCTACCAGATAACTCAGAAAGTGCAGGTCTGTGCTGTCTTTATCCATCTAATTTCCATTGTCTACCTACCTATTTTGTCTGTGTCCATCTGTCTGTCCATCCATCCAGCTATCCAGCTATCTAGCTATTCTCTCTCTCTTTCTCTCTCCCTCCCTCTCCCTCCCCTCTCTCATAAAAGACAATATTTATAGCTTGGGGTTGAAATGAGAGAGTCTTTGGTGCTTTCTCAGCTTGCTTTTTTTCTTGCAGACATTTAATTACCATCTGTCTGTCCTCTCTGTCTCTATCCTCCTCCTCCTCCTCCTCCTCTTTCTCTCTCTCTAATTTATCTTAACCGTCTCCATTCTTTTTTTTAAAGAAAAAATTATTTCAGTTTTCCACATTTTAAAAACATCTTTTTTTTAGTGAACAGCATGATTCCAGGTTTTTACATTTCCATACAAACATGATCTTGATTACATTTTCATCTTTCATCTTTAGTTTCGTATCTTACCATTACTTTACATATTTTATCAAATATTTTCCTCAAGCTTATTTTATAAATTTTCAGTTCATTTCTTAACCCATTTCTTTTAACTTTAAATAAGTCTCATATCTTCATATTCATTGTATTTTGTACCTTTATTTGCAATTTCGTCACAAATTCTTAATTCATCAGTTCAAAAATTCCATCTCAATTCAAACATTTCAAAAAAAAAAAAAGTTTCCCCCACAATTACCAATTGGAGTGTGCCACCCCTATACCTTACTTATCATTTAATTAGTTCCCCTTTAAATCCCAGTAGTCATTTAATTTTTTAATTAAAAGTTAATAACAATAGTCTCCTAGCAACTACACAACATACATACCTTTTAAGTCAGATTCTGCATGGTACTTTCACCTTCAATTACATCAAAAACATTTATAATTTCCAAAAAAAAAAAAGTTAATCTATTGAATTCATCATAAAAACTGATATTGCTCATTACAACAATCCTCATAGTTCATTTCAACTATATTCTATAAATTCATTAAACATAGTTAATAAACATCATAATTTCTTTAACCATCTCCATTCTTAAAGATGATTGCATCTGATCATAGAAGAAACAGGATATCTCCGTAACTGTTTTTTTTAGCTGCATTTCCAATTCATCTGAAAAAGTTTAGAGAGACCTCAGCACTGCTGAAGTCTCAAATTGGTGACTCCAGGGATGGAACGGATTGTGGCCCTTGGCTTCCTCCGACGCTTGAATGTTGGCTCGTGAGGAAAAGAAACAGCAGCCTTAATTTTAGCTGGGACATAATGCTCCCTTTGCTAAGGACCTGAAACTGCACCCAGCAGGCTTCAAGTAACAAAAAGCAGCTTTTAAGGGCTGGCGGGTGTCCATTTCATCAGCTTCAGTGGCTTGCCTCCAAGCAAGATCCTTTGCTATCCAAACAGCAGGTTGCTAACCAATCAAATCTTCCCCTCCACCATTTATACAGTCAATGATCAAAAATCAGGAGGAGTCTGGCTGTGAAAATGTGTGCCCTCTAATAAAATTAGTCTGAAAAAGTGCTATCAGAACTTCAGATCTGGAGTAGCAAAGGATTAAGGCAGCTATACCGGATCATCAAATGTATAGCCCCCAAGTACTTGTCTTCAGCTTTCATGATAACTGCAGAGGCCAAGAGGAACACAAATTATGGCTGTGAAGTGTGATAACAAAGCCAGCACTTGGCTTTCAACAACCGTTCTTCTGGAACAATCCCCAGCTAATTAAGCAAGAATGAATGAATGAATGAATGACTGCTAGATTGGTTTTCATCTGCAGTTTGAATTGCCAGGATAAAAATAGACAATTTTGGAGAAGAGAAAATGCCATCTTCGTAGGACATTCCGCTCTGGAGATGCGCCACCATTAATCAATCTTTCTTTTCTTTAATTTCTTGGGAAGGACCATTTCAATAGGTAAATGTTTGAATCCTGTACGTAATTAGGCCAGCAAAGTGCTTTTTAAAAAATACCAAGTAGCTAAGAGAGGCGTATAAATCTTAGTTTCGACAGGAAAGGCTATATGAGCAGGCTATTCTAGGTGGAGCCATTGCTGTAGAAACCAAAACTTCTTGTAGGAGAAAAGTCTGCCTTGTCCCAATTTGCTTAATAAAATCTCAGAATTGTTTACTTTAGCCCACTTTCTTGTGTAATAAAAAAAGCAGATAATCCACTAAGCCACTGCTAAATTTATCATGGGTAACTATTAAACAAGCTTAGCATGTTGGACTACTTTTTTAAGCATGTTGTATGAACAAAGCCCATGAGTCTTTCTCTTGGACTCAGTGCTCAGGATTCATAGAAGCCCGTGGTTTGTTTAATGACATATTGCCTACGTCACAACTTACTGACTGAATTAGCAGTTTGCAGACTAGAATTACTGGACTGAAGCAAAACACTAATCCAAATTCAAACCATGTTCAGCTTCAGCTTTATGTTAAATGCTTAGCTTGGTAGGAGCACCTAACACATTTTGACCATTTCCTAACAACTAAACTGGGTTTTGAGACCCTGAAATTGATAGTTGGACTTTATGTGTGACGTAGCAATAGTAATAGCACTTATATACTGCTTTACAATGCTTTACAGCTCTCTCTAAGTGGCTTACAGAGTCAGTATATTGCCCCCAACAATCTAGGTCCTCATTTTATCCACCCCAGAAGGATGGAAGGCTGAGTCAACCTTGAGCCAGTCAGGATCAAACTGCCAAACTGCTGGCAGCCGGCAGTCAGCAGAAGTATCTGCAGTATTGCACTCTAACCACAGCACCACCATGGCTCTTTCTTCCATGTACATAAAGAATAGAGCTCAATTGTGTGTTTGTGGTCACTACCTTGGCTTTTCAATCCTGCAGTTGCAGATGGTCCTGCGTAGATCACATTTCAATAGAAAATAAGATATGTAAAGCACTGATGATGTTAGCTAGCTGGGTAATGAAATGTCTGCGAGCAAAAACAACCAAGCTCAGAGAGCACTGAGAATACCACATTTCTTCTAGTCTTCCTGTAACTGTGACTCCTTCTTATGCTTCTCTCCCACAGGGGCCCTGCAGACAAGCAAATGCTGAAGTGGGACTTGCTTCCAAAGGCCACATCAAATGGCTGACCAAACGAAAGATCAAAGCTTTCTACACAGGCATCTTAGCAGAGGACTTGAGAACTGGAGCACAAATCCTTATGCAGGTAAAATCAAGCTTGGAGTCTTGAGATGCTAATCACACCCAGGGCTACCTGAACGGCAATCACTTGCTTGAGGAATTCTTATGTGCTTTTTAATAAAAACTTTGCTCTTATAATCTATACTAATTCTTGGGTCTTCCTACCATAGCTTGCACTATCCACTAAGCTAAGAATAGAATAGAATAGAAATAATAGAATAAAACAGAATAGAAATAAGAACAGAATAGAACAGAAAAATTAGAATAGAATAGAAAATAGAATAGAACAGAAATAATATAGTAGAACAGAATAGAAATAAGAGTAGAGTAGGGTAAAGTAGAGTAGAGTAGAGTAGAGTAGAATAGAATAGAATAGAGCTGGAAGGGATCTTGGAGGTCATCTAGTCCAGTTGTCACCAACCTTTTGGACCTCAGGGACCACCAAACTCATAATTTTAAATCCCAGGGACCACTAACCAGTTCTGTGGGCATGGCCTAATTTGTGGGTGTGACTTGGTGGTCATGTGATTGGCTGGGCATGACTTGTATGTAAATATGATAAATATTTTTATAAATATTGAATTATTTTATTAAAAAAGAGCAACTTTTACCCAAAATCAGACAAAGCAGGCAAGCAGATTGAGTTGCTCACAGAATCATTCAGTGATCTATCTACCTGCCATCAGCTACCTGAGTCTGTCAGATAAAATTTGCTTGCCGTGAGTCTGTGCTGAATAATACGAAGGGAGGTTCGACTGTGCTTAAAAGCAGAGCCGAAGATCTAAAGACTAGCTAGAAAGCAAGAAATCCAACCATTTCCTATTTCCTAGCTAATCTAAATTTCCCGGCACAGCAGAACAGCTGCTGATGGTCAGAAAAACAAAAAATAGCAATTTAGCAGGCAAGTTTGCCGGGTAAGGAGTGAGTGGGCCGGGAGGGTTCCTGCAGGCCACGTGGGCAGCACAACCTTGTGTTTCTGCGCAGCCTGGATTAATTGCTTTGGGGGTGGTGGTGCTCTGGGGGTGAGATTTCTCTGCGGCCCACCAAAATTTTCTCATGGCCCACCAGTGGGCCGCAGGCCAGTGGTTGGTGACCGCTGTTCTACTCCAGCCCCCTGCTCAATCAAGAGACCCTATACTATTTCAGACAGGTGACTGTCCAGTCTCCTCTTAAAAACCTTCAGTGATGGAGCAGCCACAATTTCTGGAGACAATTTCTGTTCCACTGGTTAATTGTCCTCACTGTTAGGAAGTTTCTCCTTAATTCCACCTTGCTTCTCTTTGACTAGTTTCCAACTATTATTTCTTGTATTTCTTGTAAATAAATAATTTTTATTTGTTCCTTTGTTTAAAGTTATTATAGCGCGCCCCCCCCCCAACCCTACAGACTGGCCACATGATCACGGAAATGTCTTTGGACAGCGCTGGCTCAATGGCCTTGAAATGGAGATGAGAAACGCCCCCTAAAGTTCGCAACAACTAGTGGTGTAAAATCTGCAGGGATTCCTTCCTAGGCTATGAATAGAAGACAAAGTTTTACTCCCCTCTGGAAGGAGGTTTCGAAGTATCTATAACAGAACTACTTTGTTCTTTATACCATCCATCTTGTAAATTTGCAGGATTTTCTGCCCCCCTCCACCATGTATATGTATACATTCGAACTAGAGTGTCATGTTTCTCTGTGTCATAT